CACACACACATACACACACACACACACACACACGCCCATTCCCAATACGCCCCTTCTCCTCTTCCTTTCCTCTTTTCCTTTCTCTGGCTTCAGCATATTATACCTCTCACCACGATCACGAACTCCACCTTTTTCAGTTAACTCTATTGTGCCCATGTTTCACATTTGTACCATGGTGTCCACATTTGTTTCAAATATTGTTTGTTATTGTTATAAATGTCGTTTGTTTGTAGTTCTTACAGCGGAAGGGGAGGGTTAAAATATTCTTAAGCAATAAATTTACTTCAAACGTTTCATTTGTACTACCAGTTTACTTCAAATGTTTCATTTATATTACCTTTAAAACAACAGCATATTATGGGGCCATACATTTGATATCAATATCTTGTTGTAAGCACTCGAGGGTTGACAAATGCCAAGAGCTGAGGTCAAAGCGTAAGACTGTCTTATGGAACAACATCAAAAGGTTATAAAGAGCGTGGCATCCAGAAATCGGAGTATATATAAAAGCTGTTTTGAGCTCTGCACGGTTATAGCATCATAATATAGGGAAACAATGTTCTTTCTGCTCTTTCACAATAGGCAAAAGTGTGTGTGCTAATTTGGTCTACATATTATCATTTTCGCCTCTATTTCTGTATGCTCTTAGACCATGTCACTTGTGGTTGGCTTTTCGGTGCCGGCAAGAAAATTCTATTTGCTGTAAACGTTGGAAAAACATCGATATTCTATATTCTGTTGCCTCATCTGGACTGTGTCTCGTGAGGCGTTGATTATCGTGTGACTTTTTAGCTACATAGTAAGCAGCTCAATATTGATATGTCTACGGTTACTTTGCAATAATAATTGTCTGCCTCATGTGAAATATGCAGGGACACGTTCAGTGACTTCTCGATCAGAAAATGACGGTCGCTGATTCTGTTGCTCCACTGAGATTACTTTTGTTATGCAGTAACTCCAGAAGACATAATTAAAATTTAATGTTGTCGGCGTGTTCAGTGACAGTTCGCTACCTCAGAATTACAAAGTTCTATCTAACTTTGGCCGTTTTGAGTTACTACGAGGTCAGAAACCAAATCTGTCTGCTCTATTAAAATCGTCAGATTATTCAGCGTCAAAATCGAGATATTCAAAGAATTACTTTCGAAAAATCTTGGCATGTTGTGAAACTATTTTTAAAAATTGACGTCAATTCTCGGGCTACGACTTAGTTAAGAGAACGTCTCTCAATTGACTAGCTACGCACATGCAAGGGGGCCACCACACTCCATACCACTGGCTTCTATTAACCTCTGACTCTCACTGGCAAATTTGAAGGCAAATGGGGCAGGCAGGGGTAGGCCCAGAGCAACCTACTTAGAGAACCTAAAAAGCCAGATGGGTAACGGGGAAAGATCAGGGTAAAGTAGCTTTATTAAGAGCATCCGAGCAAAGGAATGATGGAGAACCATGATAACCGACGTCTGTCGCAGATCTGGCCCTTGATAATGGTTATGATTATTATGATTATGATTATTATTATTATTATGAAAAGTTACGCCATAGACAGCTCAAGGGGGCTCTCTTGGCCTAGAGGTTCAGGTGTTCGCCTCTTATTCAAAGTATAATCAAAGTTCCCGGGTTCGAATCCGGGTAGCGACGGAAACATTTTGTTCTCTAAAATTGTCTGCTTTCACTTCCTTTCCTGTTCTCTAGCAATGTTCTGTCGTCTGCTTTCGTTTCTACTTTCTGCCCCTACCCCTCACCCCCTATGCCCCCTCCTCTGGGCTCCTGACTCTTTATGAAGCCGTTCTACTGCTACTGCTTAGCTCCTTCTTACTACTGCCTGTCAGCCACACTCCTGATCTTCTGGTAGGAAAGATCTACACCTAGCCTTTTCGAACAAAAGCGAAAAATCTCGGAGGTCCCATGTGCAAGTTGCGCATGTTAAAGATCCCTTGGTGGTCTAAAATCGATAAGAGTAAGCTTCGGCCACCACCGGGGAAAAATTTAAAAGTAATGTGCTCCGCGCACTCAATATTATGACCTAATGAAATTGCGAGCGCCGTAAAACACTTATTTTAAAAAAAGACCACAAAAAAAAGACTGCAAACACCTGAAGTCATTCAGGTTAATCACGGAGCACACCACAATTTGATTCTTATTCTTTGGAACCAAATGAAGGACAAGGAGGGAAAAGATACGTACACACCTGACAACAACGAGACTTGTGTTTGGCCCTTCATAAAAATTTGGTTACCCATGGTGCGCACCAGTGCAGGCTAGGGAAGGTTTGTAAAGAGAAAAGAGCGGTGGCCATGACAGTGTCTTGTGTAGGCTAGGATAACCTGGGGGATCGCGGTGGAATCAGGCGCTCGTCAATTTTTGGGCATGTGGAATTATTGGTATCATCTTAAAGCTTATTCACTTGTCTTTATTTGGATGAAAAAAATATCCATTTATCTGGAACACAAGTTGAGGTATTTGCGAATGAAGGAGGTTGGGATCACCTGTTTTCAGAGGTAAAGTTAATGACAAAATGGCCGCCAAAGATTAGTTATTTTCTTAGCTTAAGAGTCCATGGTAACTGAAAACTTATTTTTTTTGTGCCTTTAATCAACGTTTTTCAGAAAAAATCCACACAGAAATGAGTTCTTTAATGGGCATGAAAGGTGTTGAGCCAAAAAACAAAAATTTGATTAAAATTCACAAACCTGCGGAAAAATGCAAGTTTCTTCCTTTTGATTATTTTGACGAGAGCCTGATTCCACCACGCTGCCTCACTTATAATTGAAGTCTATGAGACATACATGTACATATATACAAGAGAAATACGATGCAAAAAGGTTGAATAAAAAGAGAAAGGTCAGTGAAACTTACATTGCATCAATATTATTAAAGAAGAACCAATTACCGATGACATCATTTCAAGCTCAGTTTGGATCCCATACTCTCGTACCACACTCGGCTAGTAGAGCCTCGAGTAAGATGGCGCTGCATGACCTAGTGACGCATCTCGTGTTGACGAGGAAGACTGCCGTGACGTCAGGATTGGAGGTTGTCCATGGATGCCCCTGCACAGGGGTCAGGCTTTCTAGACGCAAGGGTGTGTCTTTTTACATCCACCCTCATCTTCCTCCAACTCCTCCACTTCCTCCTCATCCTCTTCTTCCTCTTCCTACCCTTCCTCCCCTACCCCCTCTTCCTCCTCTTCCTCCACATCCTTCTTTTCCTCCTCTTCCTCCTTTTTCTCCTCTTCCTCATCTTCTTTCTCTTCCTTGCCTCCCCCGTCCTCTTCTTACTCGCCCTTGCCCCCATTCCCCTCTTTTTTTCTCCCCCCTCCCCCTTTTTTCTCCTTCTCCACGCCTCCCTTTAAATATTTTTATTTTCTGCATTTCTTTGTTATCTATTTGAATTTACATGGAATAATATTATTATTATTAAGAAGATAGACTACAATAGGGAATGGTGGAAAGTGCTTGTTCGTGGCCTATACCTTGATGCAGGATGAGAAAGGCAATGATGATGATGATGATGATGATGATGATGATGATGATGATGATGATGATGATGGTGATGATGATGATGATGATTTTTTTTTGTTTCCTTAATGGGCCTGATGGACTTCACGAAGAAATCTTCGAGCGAGAGCGAGGCTCTTTTTCGGCTCCATTGCCAATATGCTTAACGGCACCTCCACTCGTCCAAATAACTCCATTCGAATTGCCATTGTTCCTGGACATTCAAACATATGTTTGATATCCTCCTTTTCATGGCCGCATCTTCGGCAACTTGGGCTGAGCTCCTCATTTACAAAGTTCTTATACCATCTTAAACTCCAATGATGGTCTGACCGCAGTATCGCTAGCTCAACCTGGTCCCAGCGACATGTGATAGATTTTTTATCCCGCTTATAGGAGTACCCAGAATACACTTCTTCCAGGTGCTGGTACTTAGTTCTACAAGGTGGGTCTCTGATTTCTCTCTTGATTATTGGAAAGACTCCTCTGTATGTCGTTGGTCGTCTGTCTCCTTCGGTCTCTCTGGCTTCATTAGCAGCTTGGTCTGCTGCCTCATTTTCTTCTATTCCAACATGGCTTGGAATCCACTGGATTTTTATTGTGGCTTTGGCTTCACTGAACTTGCGGTGCAAATCATTCATGTCCGAGCTGTTGCCCAGCAGCCCCTTGGAAATGCATTGATACCCTAACCCCACAGCCAGAGGCTCCTATGCCAAATCTTGACACTTCAATAGATGATATATCCAAACAAATGAAGTCATCTGAAAAGAAATGCTTGCGCATTCTTCAATGGAATGCCGATGGTATAAAGACGAAGGTTGGAGAACTCGAGATGAGGCTTAAGGAGCGCGATATTGATTTGGCAATGATCCAAGAGAGCAGACTCGGAAAAGGACAAAGAACCCCACATATCAAAGGTTACATGGCGATTCGGGAAGCAGACAGGGGGCCCGGGGAGGAGGATTGATCAACTATATCAGAGATAGTCTGGTGTATGAAATAGTGGATAGAAGGGCGAAGACAGTAACAGAATCGCTGACCATCAGGATAAGAATGACAAGAAAAAAGTGGATAACTGCCACTAATGTCTACTGCCCACCCAAGAACAGCACAGGTCAAACCATCTAGCTTGATTTGAACAGCATCCCAGTGTCGCGATCCAGCATCATTTGCGGTGACATCAATGCACATTCCCCAGTCTGGGATGAGATTCAGCCAGAGGATCCGCGAGGAGAAGATGTAGTTGAATGGGCGTGTCATAAATCGCTTGACATCCTGAATGATGGTTCTGTCACCCGAATCAACAAAACAACAGAGGCTGGCAGCTCGCCAGATGCCACGCTATGTGGAAGTATCTGGAAGAGCAAATGTGTATGGTCGGTGGATGATGAAGATCTCGGTGGTTCTGATCATTCTGCAATCATCATTGTAGTGAACAGTGCAACTAAACATCAATCAATCTTTGCAAAGGCGCCGCGATGGAGAAGAAATGGTGTGAACTGGCCAGACTTTCGAAATGAGATTGAAAGCAAGATGGATAACTTACCGGAAACTGACGATCTGAATCTGCGAGTCCAACGTTTCAATGCCATCTTATTTGAAGCAGCTTATGCGCATGTCAGGAAGGTGAAGCCGTCCAAGAAATCCCACTCTTGGATGACCCCCAAATGTCGTGGACTGATCAAGAAAAGAAACCAGCTAAGAAAAAAATATCTCCTCACACAGGGAGGAATGGTTACAAGCTTGCAAAGATGTTACAGAGGCTGTCCAGGAGCCAAAGACTGACCAGTGGAAGGAGGTAGTTAATGGCGTGAAATGATCTGGACGAAAGAAAAACTTGGAGTTTCATCAAGTCTCTAAATGGATCACCAGATACCAACTCTCCCAACGAAGTATTGAAACACAACGGGAAAAGGATAACATCAGCAAAGAAGAAAGCTGAGCTTTTTGCCCAGCACTATGCAAAAATCAGTAAGCTCCAATTTACCCAAGAGGAGCGCAGAAGAAACAAACTCCGATTGAAGAGCCAGTAGTTCGCCATGGCTCAAGATCACAGATAGTCAATCCAACGCTGAAATCATCATATCTGTAAGAGCATGTTAATGTGCTCAGACTGACAAGAAACATTAGGGTTTCGCTTACTGGTGAGACTGGTGATTTCTCCAACTATCTACTGAACATTGGTGATGGCAAACACAACGTATGCAAGCAAATCGGGGAGTTTGCGATAAAACTGCCAGATGACATCACAGTAAAGAGCGAACGAGAGTTGATAAATTTTGTCTTCGGTAACTTGCAGTCTAACACAAATCTTGACTGGCTGGCTTCCCGCTGCATCATCTGTCCTACCAACACAGAAGTAGACAGAATCAACAACCTGATCATGCAGTCCTTTCCCGGAGAAGAAAAAGTCTACAGGAGCAGTGATTCGGTTGAAGAAAATGAACACCAATACCCCATCGAATTTATCAATTCTCTATGTCCGTCAGGTATGCCGCCCTACAAACTGACATTGCGGAAAGACAGCATTGTCATGTTGCTGAGTAATCTGGATCCCACAAACGGCCACTGCAACGAGACTCGATATGTGGTTCAACACCTTCATCAACAGGTAATTGATGCTGTCGTTGCTTGCGGTCCACATGCCGGAAAGAGATTTTTCATCATCCCAAGGATTCTCCTCATTCCTTCAAACAACATATTTCCCTTCCATATATGCGACGGAAACAATTTTCGATTAGACCTGCTTTTGCAATGACTGCCAACAAAGCTCAGGGACAGATTTTGAAAAGGATAGGGGTTTCTTTAAAGGGCAATTTTTTTCCCATGGACAATTATATATCGCAATGAGTCGTGTTGGGTCCAGGGATACATGCAAACAGGCTGCCCGGGACGGAGTTCCAGATGGCGCATATACCAGCAATGTTGTCTACACAGAGGTCCTACGGCAATGAATCAGGTACCGGTACAAACATTTTATCGTGGGCTTTCCTATCGCTATTATTATCACCGTTCGTAGACCGGGTCTGTGTCTAGATCTAGTAATAATGAAGACCATTTCTATAGCACCCACTCCCGTGTAAACACAGCTCTATGCGCTTTACATAAATGCATGTACGAACAACATTCTCGCACGCGCGCACGCACGCGCGCACACACACACACACACATACATAGACACACACACATACACACACACACACACACACACACACACACACACACACACACACTTACGCACACATGACACGCACACATGTGCACACACATAAACGCCAAACACACGCACGCACGCACGCACGCACGCACACACATTTGAAGCACCAAAGGTAAACGAGATGAAAGAGTATCTATTGCACAGTCTGTGACATTGAACACGTTTCTCCTGCCAATAACTCTTTCAGCAAAACAGATGATTAGATATTTCTAACTCGGATAGTCATTTTTTGCAAGCGATATGATTAGATCTCTAGGGTTGTTTCGATGTTGTGATTGTAGTAAAAACAGTTTACTCACATTTCTGTCTTCTAGATATGGTTTGATTAAGGTAGTTGGAAATGTTATGGTAGGGATAAGTGACAGGATCAAGTTTAAGTTTCAGGTCTCGTTGATTGATTGGTGAAAACAAGAAGTCAGTATGTTTGGAAACTATATTTCAGGCTAAAAGTCGTTGTTTTTTGTTAACTAGTAGGTGCTCCAACACAGGTGAGTTTTTCCTTACCGGTTTAAAAGAGTTGTTTCGACTGATTTGAGCGTTATCTTTCTTTCTTCTAAAAACAAAAAATTACCTTTAAAGTGGTGGGAATTTTATTTTGTCAACTTTTACTCGTCAGTACTCTTATTGGATGGTTGGTGAATGCTCTGATACGGCTTGCTCCTTCTTTCCTATCAAGCATTTATTGTTCTTATCTCCCCTTTTCTTCGAATGTTAGTCTCAAGTATCGAGGTCTAATCTTCGGCACTTATAATATGACCTATGTTTTACAACTGCTTTTAAACTCTTGATAAAACAAAAACAACTAAATTGCTCTGAGACAGACTTTTTCTAAAGTGCAGGCTTAAAAGGTTTTACCTGTCGACGACCTTTGACTTTGGGTGAATCTTCACTTGACCATTTTGGATAAGTCAAGAGAACATCTTTCATCGAAAACTCGTCTTCTGCGCATGTGTTCCATCTGTTTATTTGTTATACCGATGTATATATGTAACTAAGAACAAGGGTAGCCGGTAAATTTTCACTCTCATTCTTGCACACAGATGCACTGCTTTTGGGGGTCAAACGGCCGTATATATTGCTGCAGACCACACATATAGCCATCAAAACTTTTTTTAAAGTGTCTTACGGCACACACAACTGCATGGTCATGCGGCAGTGGGGTGGGGGGTGG